ATTTTACAGTTAAAATAAATGTTTATTAAATAAAGTCTAATGTTACAACTAATCAGGGATCCCTTTAAAAATCCTGTTAGTTTTCGAGCTTTAACAGCACAAAGCATGTTTGAGTTTGTAAACAAAAAGTTTTTATTTCTATTTTAAAAACAATTCCGTGTTCTGTGTGGGGGACCAGGATCGAGAGCGAGCGATGCCGCTGATGATCCGAGGGTTCCGTGACGCCGCAGAGGAAGGAGGGACGTCGGTGACCGGCGGTCAGACGGTCGTCAACCCCTGGATCATCATCGGGGGCGTGGCGTCCGTCGTCTGCCAGCCCAACGAGTTCATCATGTGAGTCTGCCGTGTCCCGGGACGATCTTTAATTTAACTTCACGCGACCGTTTACCGTTTCAAGTGAGACGAGTTTTATTTTATTGGTCAGTTGTGTTTTTTCCTGAAAGGTGAATCTTTAAAACTGATTCGACACCCTTTAATCACTTTGGACACGTTAATAATTATGTTTTGACACAATATTTCCCGTTCCTGCTCTGTCTTAAACGATTTCAAGCAAATTAACTGTCAAACTTCAGTTAAAGTGCCAATGTTTATTTGAAAAATCTGTTTATTTTTTTATCTAAACTGATTACATGTTGTTAAAACACTTAAATTCAACTCTCCAAAAACTAATTAAAAACTTAATATTTTAAAAAATGACTGATTTGTCTCACAACGCACTGATAGAACTCGATCTGAATCTTTTTCTAGGCCCGACGGGGCGGTGCCGGGAGACGTCCTGGTTCTGACCAAACCTCTGGGGACTCAGGTGGCCGTGAACGCTCACCAGTGGCTCGAACAGGTTTGAAACACGACTTAAAAGGGCMGGCGTTTGTTTCAGGACATCTTCACGCTCTCTTTTTTATCTCTCTGCTCCCATCAGCCTGAAAAGTGGAACAAGATCAAGCTGGTTGTCACCAAAGAGGAAGTCAAAGAGGCGTATCACGAAGCCATGTTCTCCATGGCCACGCTAAACCGAACAGGTGCCGTGTTCTCTTCATGCCTTTTTGTGTTTAATTCATATTTAACCAGCAAACCCACTTGTTTACTTCAACAAAGAAAATACTGTAGGCTAATAAGTTTTCATAAATTAACAATGACGTTTACCAGGTGTTACGGTGCGAGCTCTATCCAGTTTAAAGAGTAATCATGGACAATATCTGTATATCAACCATTTTAATTTAAACTGGAGCGCTTTGACAAAGAGGAAGATGTAGAAATGACTCAGCCTGGAAAATGATGGACGACAACAGAGCTGCTTCATGGAAGGAGAACCTCACTTTAGCCATTTAGCTTTTGCTACAGCTCCCAGGCATTAAGGTGATATACATTAGTGACATGTATTTAAGGTGATAAAGCATTAGCATTTAAGCTAATACATGTATTTAAGGTGATAAAGCATTAGCATTTAAGCTAATACATGTATTTAAGGTGATAAAGCATTAGCATTTAAGCTAATACATGTATTTAAGGTGATAAAGCATTAGCATTTAAGC